ACCTTTAAAAAAAAAAAGTGCCTGCTCCGGGCTGGGTCTGCAGGCGAAGGAGCTGGAGCTGCAGAGAAAGTCAGGCTTGGACCCTGCCCTCGCGTCTGTCATGTGAGTGGACGGCTCCGTCAGGGAGCAATGGCCCCTTACTCTGCTGAAGTCTGTAGAGCACCAATAGCTGCCTGTGTGCAGTCACCCGAGGCAGAAGCTGTGCCCCCTGGAGAGCACGCTCCCTGTATAAGGTGGCAATAAATATTCCTTAAATTTAACTGCATGCACAAAACCAGGCCCTTCCAGACCCGTTAATCCCTCTTCTGTATTTCTGACATAGGCAGCATTGTCTTTGCAGCTACCCACTTCCCAACCATGAGGTTACATGTGATGCCCGTTCTCCTTTGCCTTATATATCCAATCAGCTGTCAATTCCTTCTGATCCTTGTGTCTCAGTGGTCGGCAAACTCATTAGTCAACAGAGCCGCAGTTCACTGACCACTGTAAGCCATTTCCACTCTGGTTTGGGTTACTACCTAAGTAATGCAAGCTTCCAACGGCTCTTTCTCCCTCCCGGCATTCTTTGGTGCGTGCACCAGTGAGTTCTCCTGCTGCCACGCCGGAAACTATCTCCTCAGGCTCCTCTCCCGGCATCCTCTGCTCCATTTAGGCAAGTCCTCTCACACACACCCCTCCCCGTCCTCAGGGTTCTAAGATCTCTCCTCTGGGAATTTCCTCTTGTCTGTCTCCACATTTTAAAACCCTGAAGTCTGTAGTATTAGGGGTTTGGGTTGCAAGAAGAGAAAAGTGTGTCTGGCTGCCTTGTAGCATAAAGAACAGAAATTTACTGGCAGGATATCAAACAGCCTGCTGGGATCTGGAAAAGCTGGGAAGGGGAGGGGGAACCGAGCCTGTTAACGGCCTCCAAAGGAAAGTTCTGGACCCAGCTAGCAGCAGCAAACTGAGTCTCACCCGCCCTCCTCTTCTCCACGCTCTCCAGTTTCCAGGTCCTGAGCGGGAAGGTCCCATTGGCCAATCCCAGGCCGTTCCCTCTCAAAGGACTTCTGAGAAAGGAGAGATGGGGGGCCTCTGCCTCCTGCCAAGCTCAGGCAGGGATCCCCAAACCGGGAGGGTCTGAGGCGGGGCGGCCACCTTATGGTAACTTCCCACTGTTGTCCTTCAGGGCCTCTCATGCCACCACCTAAACCCAAGCCACTTCTGTTCTCAGAACATGTTTTGCTTGGCACCTTCCATAGTCAGCTTTACGTTATAGTTATCTGTGTACAGCTCTGTCCCTTCCTCCGAGATTAAAAATAATTTATCTTTATTTCTCCAGGATTGATTCTTAAGCCTCACAAATAGAAATAAACCTATTAAGTGTAATTGAATGGAGAGCTAAGGTGGGAGGTCATGGAACAGCTGATGTGTTTACCATTCTCCCATCTAGTCTTCACAGCTCTGCACTTTGCTGTCCAAGGCCCAGGAAGTGGTGTGCCTGCAGCCTCAGGCTTGTGGGCAGCTGTGGGCCTCCTCAGTGGGACTCACAGTGCCCCCCACCTCACCGTGTGTTTCCCATGAGGCCAAGGAGAGGAGAGAGGGGGGCTTGAATGGAACTGAAGAGGAGGGGACAGGAGGCAGAAAGGAGTGTGACTGAGGGGGGCACAGGGGGAGAGCAGAGTGACTGAGCTTGGAGCTTACGTGGGGGCAGGGGAGACAAAGGGACAGCCGAGGGTGCAGGGCTGAGTTCCGGAGGCCTTTGGAAGATAATCGTAGGATTTAATGGTATGTGATTTTGGGGGAATGGTTTATGCTTTTGGTTCTTTCAATGCTTTATTATTGAAGAGATTTTGATGGTAAAACAAACATGGACATACTAATGGAATAGAATGAAGGAACATACATTTTTATTTTTTTAAATACTTTTATTGATTTCAGAGAGGTAGAGAGAGATAGAAACATCAATGATGAGAGAGAATCATTGATGAGCTGCCTCCTACACGCCCCCTATTGGGGATCCAGCTCACCACCTGGGTATGTGCCCTTGTCTGGAATCAAACCTGGGACCCTTCAGTTTGCAGGCTGATGCTGTATCCACTGAGCCAAACCGGCTAGGGCAAGAAACACACATCTTTAGATCAAACATCATCTTCACCTGGACCCTGTGAACGGGACCTTATTTGAAAAAGGAGTCTTTGTAGGTGTTACAAGGACCCCTGGGGATGAGATAGTTCTGGGTTTGGGGCGCCCTAAATGCATCGCGTCATTATAAGAAGAGAGAAAGGGAGAGCACACACAGGGATGGGCCCTGTGAGGACAGAGGCAGAGATGAGAGTGATGCTGGTACACGCCAAGGAGCCCCTGGAGCCACCGGGAGCTGGAGGAGGCAGGAGAGATGGCCCCCCAGAGCCTTCGGAGAGCGCGATGCTGCTGGCACTGACTTCAGACCTTGCAGCACCAGCCTCCAGGACTCAATCCTCTTTAAGCCACGCGGGTGGAGGTAACTTGTGAAGGTCGCCCTAGGAAATGGATGTAGGCCTCTCAGGGCTCAGTTCCTCACCTTCCTGGAAGTGCTGCCCAAGCCTTCTGCTGTCAGACCCTTTGAAGGAACTGTGTGGGTGATGGGGAGGCACAGAAGTTCTTAAACGGGAAGTACAAGACAGAAGCAACTTTTAGAAAGCTCGGGATAATGCTGATATCCAGTATAAATCTGAGGGATGGAAGTAAGGGAGTAAGCTGACCAGAGGGAAGGCATTGGGTACCAGAGGTTGGAGTCAAAGTATGTGAGGTTCTGAATCCAGTACCTTCACTTACTGTTTCAGTTTTATTTATTTTTTCATGTGTAAAATGAAGGCAGTACTATGGTGTATGAGTTAAGATGGCAGATGTAAAAAATTCACAAGAGATACATTATACGTAATTATGTAAAAATTAGGACATGGCCTTGGCGATGGTAGAGAAGGTGCAAATGGTTCCGGGTCAGAATCATAGAGATTTAGGTTGGGAGGGGCCCAGGTCATCCAGAGCCCTCTGCTCACTGCACTGGGGGGGAGTGGGGGAGCCGAGGTGCCTGGTGGACTCTTGCTCAAGCCCGAGACTCTGGGAGGAGGAACTGGTCTGGGAAGGAGATTAAGTTGCATTCGCAATGTGGTGAGTTTGAGAGAAGGCGAGCCAGGCAGGGGACAGCAGATGAGCTGGGAGCTCTCCAAGGCTGCTGACCGGGAGGTGATCACTGAACATGTAGACTAGCACACAGAATATGATGAACTCTCTTTAAAAAAAGATCAGAATGAAAAAAGGGCAGTCTGCTTTGGGATATTACTGCGAGAGGCTGGGAGGACAGCAGGCCTCACAAAAGACAGGGCAATACATGGGAGAATGACCAGGTTTCAGGAAAGCAAAATGCTGCGTGCTTCCAACAGCTTCCTAGGGCAAAGATTGAGAAAGAGACATTGGGTTTTGGATAGAAAATGTCTTTGGTGACTTTACAAAGAATCAGAGAAGAAAAAGGAGTTCAAGAACAGTGCGTCCATGAAAGTTTACAAAGCAGACAAGTTAAAAGCTGGGCCACACCTATTTTGAATGAACTAATTTAAAATTTGGGCCAAATCAATGACTCTACTTCTGCTTTCCTTATCAGTAGGGAAGGTTTCACAAAAGGATGGGCTGAGGTAGCTTCTCTCCGAGGTCAGAGGAGAAGGTGGTGGCCCCACTCCCTGACCTTAGACCCAGCCCTGCTCAGAACAGAGCGCCTGCCTCCTTCCAGCGAGGGACGTGAGTGCTCCCTCCTGCCCGGGCGCCAGGGACTTACCTAGGAGCCAGTTAGCACTGCCTCCCTCGGAGGGTGTTAGGGAGCGTAAGAAGCACCTGTGCAGGCTCCACCATTGAAGAAGCAGATGGTCAAGCTCTCAGCTGTGACTTTCCGGTTCTACTGGCTCCAGCTACCCTCCTATGGTGCTTCCTTGTAGGAAGCAGGCAGTGATTCCAGTGATCCTGTGATGTCACCCTGGGAGGTTATTATCGCCTTAATAATAAGGAGAAGCCAGAAACCTAAGAAAGAATCTCATTAACATGCATCCAGGCGACTCCTCCAGGAAACCAGAGCCGTTTCAATAGCAGGATGTGCTTCTGGGAAGCCATATGGAAGGAGCCTGGGGAGCGGACTTCTGGATGCTGTGTCTGTGCGAGGGCTGTGCGCCTTCCCCCTTCCTCTTGGGGTGACTGTTCCAAGTTTGTAGGGAAGCCACTACCTGCGGCCACTGCGATGGGCAGCGGCAGTGACAGCTCCTCCCAGGGCTCTGACCCTGGCTGTGCTGGGGCCACTCGACCTAGGAGGCCTCGGAGGCCGGGCTCTTCGTCCCCTCTTCAGAAGTGCTTCCGACGAGGAAGACGGAGTAAAGAAGTGTCTGGTTGGGAAAGTAAACAGATACAAGACAAATAAATAAAAATGCCACAGGCAATTACAGAGAGGAAGTCATCTCCTGGTGAAGTCCCTCTTCTGATGGACAGCAGGCCTGCTCTGCTCCGCGGTCCCTGGGAATGCTTCCGGGAGGGGGGCGGTCGCCAAACAACTTAGGGCTGGCGAGGAAGAGAATCCGACAGACAGTCAGACAGTCAGAGAGACAGACAGGCGGACGGACGGACGGACAGAGGGGTGGGAAGACCACCCACCGGCCGCCGGCAGCTGGAGGCTGTGGCCTTTCTCTGCTGTCCAGCCCCTCACCCCCAGCCCTGCCCCCACTCCCCGCACAAGTCGCTCTAGGAACAGGGACCCTTCCCTCCCGGCTCCGCCCCGCGCTGACCGCTGCGGGGGGGGGGGGGGGGGACCGGAGGCCGTGCGCCCCGAGCGCAGGCCCGTCCCGGCCGGGGCCCCGCGCGCCCCCAGGTGGGTCTGGGCGCCCGGCGCGGCCGCCGGGGGCGGGGTCTCGGGCGGGCGGAGCGGCGGCGGGGGAGGAGGAGGAGGAGGAGCGCGGAGGGGCGGGCGCCGCGCGGGGGAGGGTCGCCGCCGCCGCTGCCGCCGCCGCCGCCGCCGGGATCGTCAGGCCGGAGCCGGGGCCGAGCGGGCGGCTGGGGGCTCGGCGCGGAGGCTCGCGGCGCCCGGGCCGGCGGGGTCCGGCCGGGCCGGCAGCGGCCGCAGCGGCGGGAAGCGGGAGCGGCGCAGACAAAGAGCGGCGTCTGGCGGGCGCGGCCGCCACCCCGGCCCCGCCGCTGCCCTCCGGCCTCCGGGCGGCGAGCGCGAGGTAAGCGCGGCGGGGCGGGCGGCGGGCGGCGCGCAAACTTGGGCCGCGGCGGAGTTGGAGCGGCCGCGGGGCGGGCGGGCGGGCGGAGAGGCCTGGGGACCGATCGCCCCTCCGCCCCCCGCCCTCCGCACCGCCGCGGCCTGGCCCCGGGCGCGGGCCCCGGCACCTCCCGGCTCCCGCCTTCCCCCGCGGCCGCGGCCACCCTCCGGGGCGGGGAGGATGGGGGCAGGGCCGGCGGCTCCCGGGACGGAGACCCCGGGCGCGGGCCTGCGGGCGGCGGCGGCCCGGGGGGGGCTGCCCGGGACCGTGCGGGGCCGGGGCCGGGGGCGCGGGGCGGGGGTCCGCGGGGCCGGGGAGCGGGGCTGCCCCGGACCGGGCGGCCCTCCCAGAGCTGCCGCCGGCGGGGGCTCGCCGGGCGGGGGCGCCGGCGGCCCCGGCTCCCGGCTCCGCGCCGGCCCGGCTGGGCGCCGCCGAACACAAAGTTTCTCCTGAGCCGCCCCCGCCGGTCCGGGCGATGGGCCTCCGAGCGGCCCCGGGAGAGCGGTGCCGCTTTCGGGCGTTTACCGGAGCCCGGGGAGAGCCCGCGGGCCCTGTGAGGGGCTTCAGGCAAAACGCTGACTTTGTGGACGAAGAGCGGTCGCGTTGGGAAGTCAGAGGGACGCGGGTCCCCGGCCGGGCCCCTCCGGGTCGGCTTCCCTGTGAGGCCCAGGGCCAGCGGGCCGGGAGGGCCCGGTCTCTTCAGGACACTCTAGGCGGCAGCTCCCTCCATCCGCCTGTTTGTTTGGCTCACAGGTGGGGTGAGAGGCCGGTGCCGGAGCCCGGAGCTCACCCCGGGGCCCACTCCTTCCTGACCCCAAATGAGAGACCCCAAAGGAGAGACCCCAAAGGAGAGACCCCAAAGGAAGCGGCGGGGCTCCCCGCCTCTCAGAGGGATTTGGTACAAAGCAGAGGAACTCGGGGTGTCTTTCCGAGCACGGCTTTGTTCGAAACTGCCTTTCAAACCTTAAAATGACCGAAAATGAAATTAACCCGGTGCTGTAACTTATCACACCAGACCCAAACTTCACTCCGAGCACCCCCTTAACGCTCGCCGTGTCCCCGGTGAAGTGGTGAATTACAACCGCTCCGAGCACCTGTGGCTGTGAGGAGGGAGGATGGGGTCAGCGGGCATGGGGGGAGAGGGGCTCACTGCGGAGACCGGCCCGAGAGGCAGGGTTTAGGTTTTCGGAACGGATTTCCCAGGAACAGGTGCCAGTGAAGCAGCGACTGCAGGGGGAATCCTGCCTCAGTTTCTCTCCTTGAGGTGGCGTAGGTGTAGTTTCGATGGAGGAAGTGGTGGGATGAGAGTGGTCTGGCTGCAGCTTGAGGCCGGGAATGGAGAGGTTAAGCAGTGGCGAGTTTCTGGAGGCGCCCGTGGCCCCAGCTCCCAGCTGCCACGTCCCCGCTCTCCGGACTGGTCATGGAGCGGAGGAGGAACGGGTGGCCAGTCCCGCCCAGAGCTGACTGCGAGCACACCTGCTGCTCCCTGCACAGGAGCTGGCGGGCTGGCTCCAGGCGCGCTCCGGCCGCTGTGCTCAGTTTTCTGGCTTTGAGTCCTGCTCTATTGCATGCTACATACTGAAGTTCTCTTCGTCTTACTTCCTTGGCCCTCACCACATTCCCGACCTCTGTCATGCGCATTGGGGGATTATCAAGGTTTTCCAACAAACACCTCTTACGTACACCGTATTTGAGAAACGTGCGAACATCCACATTAAATACACCAGAAACCTTGCATGTGCACAGACTGGATAACCTTTTAAAGCAGCCTGAAGACTCCCTGACGCCGGAATGGCCTGCACCCTCTCCTTGCCCACTTGCCCTGGCGAGGTGAGGCTGCCGGGGACATACCTGCTCTAAGCCGCCCAGACTAACCTGCAGTGTGCACTGGAGGCAGGGCTGTGGGCTGCATCTCTGCCTTAAGAAAGGGGGTGGCTGGTTAAAAAGCGGAAGACTGCCTGCTAGGGCTGGGAGGGCAGTGGATAATGTTTGGGAAAAAAATAAGTTAACTTTTTTTTTTTTTTTTTTTACAAATGAGCTGGAAACCCCCGGAACTTACCCGAGAGGCTTAGGAAATTAGTTTTCCCATCGGGAGGGATTGCAAATGGGGTTTCCAGATTGTTTCTCTTTCCTTACGTGAGTGATGGAAACCCTTCAAGGGGCTTTCAAAGCGCCGAAGCTAAAAATGACGTCATGCGGCATGTTGCTGAGTGCTCAAGTTCAGGCAGCTTAAAAGGAGGCCAAGACAGGCTTTGAGCGGGTTATCGGAAGTATGCAGCTGAAGTAAAAATAGTTTATTTCCTTAGGCACTTTAGTAACAGTTTAAAAAATTGGATTGGCTGGGCCCTTGCGGCTCAATGGTTGATCATTGACCCATGTGCGAAGAGGTCCCGGGTTCGATTTCCAGGCAGGGCACATGCCCTGGTTGTGGGCTTAACCCCCAGAGGGGGTGTGCAGGAGGCAGCTCATCAGTTGTTTCTCATTGATGTTTCTGTCTCTCCCTTCCTCTCTTTCTAAAAATCAATAAAAATATATTTTTAAAAATAGACTTTTTGCCGAAACCGGTTTGGCTCAGTGGATAGAGCGTCGGCCTGCGGACTGAAAGGACCCAGGTCTGATTCCGGTCATGGGCATGTACCTTGGTTGCGGGCACATCCCCAGTGGGGGGTGTGCAGGAGGCAGCTGATCGATGTTTCTAATTCTATCCCTCTCTCTTCCTCTGTAAAAAATCAATAAAGTATATATTTTTAAAAATAAACTTTTTTCTTTTCCTGGATTTCACTTTGAACAGGTCCTGAAGTATATATATTTATATAGAAAGTATAATCAACATTAACAAGTTATACCCTACACACACAAACACTCCTCTGGCGCAGTCTGCCCTCAGGTTTCTTTGGGGTTGAGCCTCATACACACGGATTTCCACCAAACGCTGATTGAGCGGATGAAGAGTGAATTCTGAGCCTGCTGAGTTCCTAGGGCTTTGGTGCCCACCGAGAAGGAGTGACACGTGATTTCCAAAACCCTGGTCTGCTCAGCACCTCTTTGACGGGCGGAGGTCTTTGTCCCTAGGACATGCAGACGGTGGGAGGATTGGGTCTGGTGGTCTCTGGTAAAGCCTCTGTCCAATGAGGCACGCGCAGTCCTGAAGCTAAACTTAAAAACACACCAACAGGCGAATGAGCAGAAGGAAAATGGAAAGCAAACCCATCTGAATAACCAGCTGGTGGGGTTGCCAAATACTTTCCGGTAGGTGGTCTGTCTGTCCGTGCCAGCCTGGACTGAGCCTGGGTGGAGTGTTGCCACCCTGGCCCGGCAAGTTAGTTTTTGGTGCCACCTTACTTCCTTCTGCCATCTGTATTGTGAACGCTTTTAAGAAGCTTCAAGTGCACTCAGAGTTTAAGTATTGCAACTTACTCTTGAGATTGTTTTGGAAAATGGGATGGCTTGTTGGCCAGTGGTTAGTGAAGATCTAAAATGCCATAGACAAAGATTAGAGGTGCTACTGCTTGTATGCTGATTTGTAGTTTGCAAGTTGCTTTTTTCACATTGCGCCATCATATTTAATATTTGAAATCACGTGGTGACGTGGGCTCCAGCTCAAAGCCGCCAGCTGGTTCTATAGGGACACGATCTCAGGGGCAGGGCCAAGGACCGCGCGTCCTGAAGCTGGGTGCCAGTCCTTTGCGCCCTGCGAAGCAGGCAGCAGACGCGGCACTCCACCGTGGTGTGGACAGAGTAGTTCTGAGGCTGCTGACCTGCTGGTGGTCACTGCTGGCACCTAGCGCCCGGGCCTCGCATAGAGCCTGTGCCTGGGGGAGTCGGGGGGAGCACACGCTGCTGGCAGTGGAGTCTGCACCTGAGCTGACGTGAAGATGGGCTGTTTCAGGGGAGCCGGCAGGAGCAGTGTCAGAACTTTGTCCCTGCTTCCTGCTGTCGGTGTGTATGCTGGCGGGCTGGGCGCCCTCACGGAACCCCACAGATGGGAGGAAATGGACACAGCTCTGGAGGCTGCAGAGTCCAAGGTCAGGGTGCTGGCGGGTTCGGTTCCTGGTGAGTCTGTCCTGGCTTGTGCAGGACACCTTGCTGTGTCCTCACAGGCACCTCCTTCCGTAGTGAGTGCCTCTTCCTCTTATAGGGACGCAGTCCTGTAGGGGAGAGCCCCGCCCTGATGACCTCCTTTCTCCGGAATTGCTCCTTTGAAGGCCTGTCTCCAAATAGTTACATTGGGGCTAGAGCCTCAACATGCAAATACTGGGGGACAATTGGTTTATAACAGTGTGTGACCTGCCCACTTGCCCTAGCGAGGGAGCTGTCCCGGGACACTCCTGCGTATTTTAGGAAGTCCTATTGCTTTCTTTACCCAAGTCTGCCTGCACATTTATTTCAGGGCGCCTCTAGGGAGGGAGACGGAGCGTGGGGGTGAGGGTAGATGGCAGCTCCCTGCTGGTCAGGGAGGGTGGCTGGCACTGGCTTCCGCACGCCGGTCAGGCTTCAGGTGGGATGATGGAGAGAGAACAGCGGTGCCTTCGTTCCATTTGTGGATGTTATCCTCCGAGTGTGGGTCCATCACAGGCACTTCTTTTGGATTAGGGTCATGATAAGACATCAGGTCTATAGGAAGTGTTGGCCTTTGTATGGAGTGAAAGTGTGACCTGGTCCTGACTGAGGAGAGCAGAGTGAGGGGCGGGCTGCCGGGGGCAGAGTGCCGCTCTGGCTGCTGGGCTGTGCCTGTGTCAGCCCAGGGAGCCGAGGCCCTGCGGTGGCGTGCGGGTGGGTGTGCAGGCCGTGCCGGGAAGGGGCGCCCTGAGGAGGGCTAGACTGTCAGAGGGTGGCATAGGCCTGGAATGCGGCGTGACAGCCGCTCCGGCCCCACTCTGCGTGCTCACCATGACTCGGTCGTCAGTCACACGGGTTATCCAGCTTGTTTCTGATTATGTCCGCCTGGAAGTCTGATGTCA